TACCGCAATTCGGCAGCCAGGTACGAGTGAGAACACCAGGTGTTCCCGGCGACTAATTAATGACAAATGAGTTTGAATCTCTGATCATGTAACAACTGTTATGACATCACTGATACGGTCTCACCATTTTCAGAAATCATTATTCGTTGGGATTCAGTCTCCTGTTCTTGGAATTTCCATTTAAAATGAAACTGGATGAAAAGTGAATTTAAAAGAGCTCTGAGGAGGCAAGGGGTTGCAAAGCAACTTGCAGATGTGCAGCTGCTGGAAAAGTAGGCGCTGTGTTTCCTGTGGTCAGCCTTGCCGTCACGTAGCAACCGTGTTAAGTTGCATCGAGTTGAAACTGCTCAGTCAGGTGTGCAGACACCTGCAGAGCCCAGCGCTCACCTGTAAGGTGTAACCCAGCTGGAAGCAAACCTGTTTAACGTGTTCGTCTGTGGATTTTACACAAACCCCGCATGACCTGCCCGCGTCACGTTAGTAATGCCACCAACACGTCATGTGTTCCCTCCTTCCTGCAGACTACTTTCTGTTCATGTGCAATCATCATTTATCGTCATGTCTGCTGGGATGTTTATTATACCGATGTTGATGTCCTGCCAGTAAAGTCTCCAGATTACATATTTTTAAAAGTTGCTGTTTAATTGCTAAATTTAAAAAGTCCTGATGGCTGTGACCTCTGCTGTGACCTCTGCTGTGACCTCGGCCTGGCAGCATGAAGTCTCACCTGCTGAAAATAAGATCCTGACGTTTTATTCTCAGCTAAAAATGCTTTAACGACAGCACGAGTGTGACGGGGAAACACCGTCCGATCCAGAATCCGAGCCTGAAAACATTGTTTGGGTGGTTTGATCGAACAGGAGTGCCGTCACACCTGTGAGGAGAAACTCCGCCCACCTCCACCCCTGCTCCATCTGTCCTGTGTTACTGCACCCATCGCTGTTCTGACCTCTCTGTTGTTGTCTTGTATCCGTTGGCTCGCCCCTTGCAGGCCGGGACAGGGCGGGCAGTCGGCCTACAGCCTGTGATGTCATCACCACGCGCCATCCTGACTCTCCATCAACCCCCATCTCTGACTGTGTGTAAGTGAGACCGGACTCGGCTGAGAGAGAGAGCAAGGAAGTGAATGAACAAATGTGTTTGGGTTTTAGTTTGGCTCTGGTCATGTGACACTCCACAGCCAATCAGGAGAGTTCGGTGGCCTGAATAAATGGCAGCTGTACTGGGGGAGGGGAGGGGGGATTTTTAGGATAACTGCCCAAAATTTAAAAGAGAACTTTGAATATTTTTCGGGAAAAATCTGAGTTTAGAAGAAAACAGGTGAGTTTCAGAGCGAACAACATTTATAAACCCCGGCCTGACTGAGTGGATGAGCAGTCATGTGACCTGTTAGCAGGAGTAATGACGTCAACGTGGCTGAAGCCAGATAAGGTTATCCTGGTTATGTTCAACTTTAGTTTCAGACCTGTGTGTGTGTGTGTGTGTGTGTTACCTTGAATTGGACTGCCTCCATGACTCCCATGGACTTGACGACCGCTGACTCCTCCCACCTAACCAGCCACTCACTGTCGTCTCTCTTTGTCTCCCACCTCTCACCTTCCTCTCCTCCGACTGTTTCACTTTCGGCCTCATTTCCTCCTCTTCCTCCCCCCTCCTCCTCTTCTGCCTTTATTTACACTCTTCTCCCTCTCTTACCCCCTTCCCCTTTTCTTCCTTTTCTCCTCCTCTCCTCTGTCCTTGCAGACTTGACCAGCAGACCCCGTAGCCCTCCTCAGCCTCCTCCCCTGCCGCCGGGCCGCCCCCCGCCCCCGACTCCGCCCCAGGAGAGAGGAAATGAAATGGAGGTTGGAGCAGCAGCAGCAGCGGTGTCGGCAGTGACGGTCACAACCACAGGAGGAGGAAGCGGAGGAAGTGGAGGTGGCGTGGAGGACTGGGAGGAGAGGGACAGGGACACGCCTCTCCGCCAACTAGAAGCTGCAGACGGAGAAGAGAGGGAGGGAGCGAGGGTGCCCCGAGCCATCGATAACCAGTACTCCTTCTTCTGATGGAGGAGGAGGCGTATGTGTGTTTGAGTGTGCGTGAAAGTTGGATTGGATGAGGCGGCGTACATCATAGCCATTCATAACCAGTATTTTAATTTTGTTAGCGAGGAGGGGAGGGAGTAAAAGTACTAACACTATGTGAGAGAGAGACGTAGAGGCGGGTGAGCGCAGCTTTACGACACTAACGAGCGGTACACTTCTTTATAGCCAGATAAGCTTTGTTTTATTTTGCCGGTACGCCTCGCAGCAGGCTCAGCCCTGTGACGCCAGCAGACCCGACGATACCTCACAGCGGTCCTGTCAGGACGGCACACGCTAGCCAGAGGCCAAACATGCTACAGATATTCCTGCTTTGGCAGCCAGACCCGAAACATCGCGGCGCCGCAGCAAACCGAAAGCGACGGAAATGTTGACTAAAAATGTCGTTTCTGAAGCCGCGCTCGGCCAGGTAGCAGTTTATGAACCCCCACACTAACATTTAAACTCCGCCCACACAACATGTGACTGCTTGTATTAATACTACAGATGATGTTAACACTAAAGCCACTATTTACGTTCACTGCTTCACTTTCACAGGTCTTAGTTTAAGTGGTGGAATCACGTTTTTCCGAACCTTCGTCCCAAATCGTCTGTTTTTAGCGTCGTCAGGACGCCCAGGTGCACGTTGTCGTTTCACTGTGGCGCTCTCACTGAGCTGACGGTACGTTCAGCTGCTGCTATTATTTATTCTAGAAACGCCTTTAAAGCAACACGATGGTGACGTCTGCACCGGGATGTTTGTTGGTGGGTGATGATCGGATCCAAGGAAAAACACTGACTGAATGTGAGGCGCCGCAGGCTGACGCCTTCATGAGACTTACTTTCATTAGTTCTTGCCGTCTGAGCATGTTTTGGGTTAGTTTATTTTCACTTTTGGACACAAATCGGTGCGTTAACTTTTTATTATATTAAACGTCGTTATTGCCAGTGTGAGACTGTAACGATACTCGCTGCTGTTGGACTGAGTCTGCCTTCATCACGGGGGGGCGGGGGCAATGTTCGGTGAGCTGCTCGTCACTTCCTTTAAAATGTCACGTAAGTTTAGTTTGGCCTGTGGCGTCGGCATCATTCTTAGTGGACTCGTGAGCATTGAAATGGCTTTGTTTTAATTTAGCTTAAAGTCAGACTTTCTTGACTCGTACGTCTTTAAAAAAACGTTCCTCGGTCTTAAACGGACATTTTTAAGTGGAGTCTGAGTTCGTCAGCATTAAAACATCAGATGTCATCAGTGGCGTTTGGTGCGGCTCAGATTTTTGTTTTTCAAATTTAAATGCAGTTTTTGAGAATTTTAATAAAGCCATAAACTGGCACACTTACAAATTTAATTAAATTTTATTTATATAGCACCAGATCACAACAGTCGCCTCACCACACTTTATATTGTGATGCATTCATGAGGTGACAAATAAAAATCGTAACGTTTCCCTGCAGCGTCCGTCACGACTGTTTTAAATTCTTAAACGTGTCCCAGGCCTGTGCAGCTCAAACTCCTCGTCCACCGCGGGCCACGTGGAGCCCACTGTGACTTTAAGTGGGCGGGGTCAGTGAGACGCTGTGTAAGAAAGTGTAACCATGTTTAAAAACCCCTGACATGTTAATGTAAGGTGTTACACTGATGTTGGCGTGCACGTGTCGACGCTGATGTCGTCGTTTCTGTAGCAGTTACTGAAGACGCGCAGCTGTTCTCATTTCAGTTTCACGTAGTTTGGTGCGACGTGATTGGCCGCGGTCATTATCAGCAGGAGAAGCTGTAAAACTAAAATCTACACCACCCTCCACCTTCTCCAAAAGCATCCAATGGGCCAGATATGACTCTCTGCTGGGCCAATCCTGGCCCCCGGGCCTTATGTTTGACACCCCTGATTTAGAGTGATATTTAGTTTTGTTTGTTTTTAATTTTTTTTCTCACTAGTGACCATTCAGGCCTCCTAGAATGTTTTAACTTTTGTAAATAACGACGTGCAGTGACATCATGTGCACCCCCCCATCGTGCTGCGCGATCAGTCGCACCTTTGGGACGTACGTCCTGAGCAGTAAAGTTTATTTTCTTTTAAAGAGTTTGGTTTGGCGCCGCCTGAGAGGAGGCGGGTCGGGTCTGGATCAGGCAGGAAACATTTACCTCAGTCACTCAGCAGCATCACTCGGTGTAAATGTCTCTCTCTCTTTCTCTCGCTTTTTCTCTCCGACGCTCAAAAAGCATCTGATCTCAGAGCTGATGGTTCAGCACCAATAAGATGGAAATAATAATACTCTGAGGGTCAGAGTGATAGTATTACATTTGTCTTTGTTTCGTACGCTTCATGTTACACTTGTTCCGACTCATCTTGTGATTCAGTTCAGATGTTTGTGCCTTTTTACGTTTGGGGATAAAAAGAAGGAATGATGACGATATAGGACTCGTTGTGCAGGTGGTGGGATCCCTCGCCCTTTTCAGTCTGTCCCCCCCCTCCTCCTCTGCCTCGTCCTGCATCATTAAAATTATAGCAGCAAATGTCGATGAAATACTTTTTCTCCTTGTGCCTTTCTGTGTCGTCTCATCACCTCTGCCTGCATCTGTTGCTCAGTTCATTTACTCATGTCATAGCCCACCCAGTCTCGCTCTGCTTTCCTTTGCTCATGTACTCATCTGATCATCATCATCATCATCATCATCATGTTCTGTGTCCTTTTCTCAGTTTCAGAACTCTTTGTGCCTTTCTCTGTCTCTTTCTCTCTTTGCTGGGACCGTGTGTTTGAAGCCGGACGGCAGCGTCTGTCTGGCCTGTGTGGTTAGTTTCAGGTACTACATTGAATTTAATGATATAATATAAATATAGTGAAACGTACTGCTGTGTCTGTGGTCCTTCTTTTTTTTTTTTTTTTTTTTTTTTTTTTTTTTAAAAACCTTTCCTGGGGTGTTGTGGTTTTATTAGACGTTGATCAAATATGAGTCTGGTTCATCCACCTTTAAAAAGCTGACAAAAATAATTGGTCTGAAATTTTCTTAAAAGTTGCTCCACAGCAGATTTAAGACCAGATGATCAAAATCCCAGCAGTATATTTAATCATGTAAATCAGTGTTTTACTGATTTAATCTCACTTGTTTTACGTTGTTACTTTATTACATTTAATTGTAGAATGTAGTGGCAGTGCCTGACACCAGGGGGCGCTACACTTATTGTGCACTGTTTTGGCTAAAAACCACAAGATAAATGTGGATGTTCTGGTTTTAGCATCACCCAGACTAAGATACCGGCTAATTAACACTTTCATGCATTATGACAATCTGGATTGGTTTTTAAGTATTTTTATTCATATTTAGGCATGAAAAAGGTTTCTTAACTGTTTTCATTTAATTTTTGTTTAAACATGTGCTTTTCAAAGACTCTTACATGTCCACTTAGGTGGACAACATCACCTTTGGAGTGGGTGGCAAGTATGGGGTGACATCAGTGTCCAATGTAGTAGTTTATGTGAAAGTATACAAGCAAACAGCCTTTGAATATCTGTAACTGTAGTGACCACTGTGTGAAACGGTTAAATAACATCAATCAAATCCAGCAGTTTCACAGAACTGGAGCTCACACCTGTTGGACCGTCTGTTAGTACAGTGACCTCACAGCAGCCATATTATTGGTCAGAGGGCTCCAACACAAACATAGTCCAGTTCAGGTGAAGCGAGCGGCTACAGCTGCCTTTCACCTCTCGGTTTGCCTCTGGTGGATGTTGCAGGAACTGCAGATTTCTGAGCTGCTTCAGCTCAAAAGAGGAGCTGCTTCGTCTTCAAGATGGACATGGGTGTATTTGGACAGTCGTGATCTCAAAATGATAAAATGTTAGGAACAATCTGGAGTCCATGGTGATGCAAGGTGTGATGCGAACAACCTGCGGTGGTACTGGACAACATCACAGCTCATGTTTTAGACATGGGCGCATATTTAAAATGCAAAGTGCTTCAATCAATCTGAACTTTCCTGAAAGGTGCATGCATTACTTTAAAGTCAGTAAATTATTGGTTTGCTAATTGATCCTGGATGAAAGCCAGTGAAGGATGATTGAACCGGCTCTCAGGTTTGTCCTTTTTTGCTTGTTTTTGTTTTTTTACTGTCGCGAAGTTAAAAACTAAACAAAAACAAAACGCACGCGAGCGTCGATGTAACGTTACTTAAACAGGGTGACGTGTGATTGACAGGAACTCTAACCAATGAAGAAACGACGGCGACAAAAACGAACGAATCGGTTGCCTAGTGTAGATAAGTGGGCGGGGTTTGCGTTTAGTGCGCTCGTTTTAATTAACGGGGTGGGCCTGGTGAGTATGGGCGTAGCGTGGAAGTTGCCGCATCGGGGCAGCTGAGTGCTTACGTCACAGGGATGGTCATTTACACGCAGTCCAAGCTGCTCCGCTCATGAACGCGTTCGTTTGAATTTGAACTGGAATCCGTGGATCGGGCCGCCAGCCACAGTGGGGCCGCATCACGTGGGCGGCGGGACCCGGGTGCGGTAAATCGAGCGCACCTGGCGCTGTTTTGTTGTTGTTTTCCAGGTGCGCCGTGTTCGGCCTGTCAAACCGCGTGACTTCGTACCGGGACGGCAACACCGGAGTAACGGGGATGCACGTGACTAAAAAGTATTATTTACACGCTAAGCCTCGTGCACGTGTCACTCTGGCCATTTGTGGCGGTTCGTTTGTTTAAAAGTCGCCGCGTCCCTGAGCTAGCGCCGTTAGCCTGCTGCGCTAGCTTACTTTACGATTCTGCGGTAAAACTGCGCCACCTTTGCGGGACGGCGCCGTGTGTGCGGGCAGGGCCAGATCATTGCATGCTAGGCTTCAGCTGGTTTGGCGGCTTTCTGCAGAGGTGGACTCTTTGATGTCATTGTTCGCGCAGAGGACGTTTTACCTGTAATTTGTCTACCTGACGCTTTCCCCTCCTTTTTCAGGAGCAGGAGCACCATGAAGCCACCTCCACTGACGCAGTCTCCTCCTGTGCGCAGCTCTGTAAGTACAGGTGACTGCTGGTCTCAGACAGGTGTGTCTGGTCAGCTGACACGCTCCTGCTGTTTGGAAACACAGCCTGAATGAAAGGCTTTATTATGAACCTCCATCAAATAAGTCATCACAGGCTCAGATGTGGAAGCTCGTTTCTGCCACTGAAACGTCTTTTTTCCATCCATTTTCTTCCATTTATCCAATTCAGGATTGTGTTTGAGCTGCAGGTTATCCCTGCTCTCATAGGCCGGGAGGTGGGGTACACCTGGACAGGTAGGCAGTCTGTCAGGGCTCGTTAACCTTAAATCTCTGGCCTGTGGAGAACTCAGACTGGGACAGGTTGGGTTAGCGTCTCAACCTTTAACGTTTTCTTCTCTCAAGCAATAAAACAACTAAAATGTTGACTTGTGGATGTTTGAAACGTGTTTTCATTGGACTCGAGCTGTCAGCCGAGACTTCAGTGCTGAGGCGGCGCTGTATTTAATGAAAGCTTAAATGTTTGAGGGCTCGTTTATTTCAGGGCAGTTTCCTGAAGCTGAGGTTTATTTCTGTGCTCCTCACCATGGTCCACGTGCACTCGTGTTTTCCCACCTGACCCCTCACAATCAGCTGACTTTACCTGCACCTTAAGTATGACCTGCTCTCACGCCTCACCTGTGTCTGCAGGTATTTGAAGGCGTCTACAACAACGCGCGCATGCTTCACTTCCTCACAGCGGTGGTGGTGAGTCCGTTTCTGCCTTTTTGTTTCTGGTTGGTGTTTTTGGCTGAGTGCCGCAGATGCGCTGAAGCCGTCCTCTCTGCTGCTTCCAGGGCTCCACCTGCGACGTGAGAGTGAAAAATGGTGCCGTGTACGAGGGAATCTTCAAGACTCTGAGCTCGCAGGTGACTTTTTTAAAACGGTTGATATTTTGACCTTCAGTGTTTTTGCTTCTCAGGGGTTCAGACACACGGCTCTCTCCTGCTGTCCGTTTTGTCTCTTTGCTCATGTCTGAGTCTGCTCCCGTTGGAGGTTTCTTCCTGTTAAAAGGGAGTTCTTCTTCCCCACTGTCACCAAGTCCTGCCCTTAGTGGGGGTTTGTCTTTACCATCACTGAGTCTTTACTTTGCAATTTGACGCAGTTCTGATGCATCAAACTGCCGTCTGTGAGGTCACTCCTGCAGAAGCTTCACTGGTTAAATGGCTGTAATCTGTCTGCATGTGTCAGTGTGAGCTGGCTGTGGATGCTGTTCACAAAGTGAGTGACGGAGGAGGAGGGAGCCAGCCCTCTGCTCCCAGGATCGAGGATGTTACTGACACCATGATCTTCAGCCCCGCTGACCTCGTCACTATGACGTGCCGGGACGTCGACTTGACCTTTGCCGTCAGAGGTAAACGGGCTCCGCCCACGTTTAGATTAGAACTGCATTTATTTTCTTTAAAAAACAAAAATCAGGTTTGCGTGTGAGCTCCAGATCTCAGGGGAGAGTCGGAGGGTTAATGGGGAATATTATCTGCTAGTGTAGACGAAACCTGTGCGAGTAACAAATATTCAAAACTGGATAACGTGATGATCAGCGGCGCGTTAACTGGTTTGTGCGTCGGATGCTGCAGAGATGAAGGTTCTGAAGTGGTCGGACCGAAGCCTGATTTTTTTTAATTTTTTTTTGTCTGCAGACTCGTTCACGGACTCGGCCATCGGCTCGTCGCGGCTGAACGGGGAGCACCGGGAGAAGGTGCTGCAGCGGTGGGACGGGGATGGAAACGGAGACGGCTTTGACCTGGACTCGGACACGGTGAGGAAGCTTTTAATTTACGAAGGGAAAGTTTTACACTGACCCGCAGCACCCCCTCTGCTCTTACTGACCTCTACTGCTGCCTCTGGTGGGCGTTAGAGGAACTGCAGCTCCTGTGTCAGGCCGTTCTCTCACAGCTGAACCGAGCAGACGATTTCACAAAAACTTCTTACTGAAATGTTTGAAAACCAACGACACAAATCACATGGACTCTTACCTGTAAATCTCAAACGTACGGTTTTATTAACAAATGAAGCAGAATTATTTCCAAAGAAAGGTTTTATTATTTAGGACAAACTGATGCTTTTGGCTTGTCAGCACTGCTCTGCTGATTTTGAAGATATTTTCCTGTTGGGTTCACGTGGAGTACCTCGCTGAAATGAGACGTCTCCGATTCATTCGTTTTTTTCCCTTTGTGTCAGTCGAACGGCTGGGACGCCAACGAGATGTTCAAGTTTAACGAGGAAGCGTACGGCGTGAAGTCGACCTACGACTCGAGCCTCTCCATGTACACGTAAGGAAACAAACCTTTTCAGGTTCACCAGCTGTGTCTCCGTCTGCCAGACGTGAAACATAAAAATGTTCGTATATGTTGTGAAGCGTCGGTTTTCATGATTTTAAATGAGGGTCTCTCCTTCCTTCTGTCATGCTTTTCCCAGCATGCCTTTGCAGAGGGGGAACTTGGAGGTGTACCGGCAGCGGGAGGCTAGGGCGGCGCAGCTAGCCAGTGAGATCGAGAGCAGCCTGCAGTACCGCCGCCGCGTCTCCCTGGAGAACGACGAGGGAAGGAGCGAGGAGGACAAGTACAGCTCGGTGGTCCGAGAGCGGGAGGAGAGGACGAGTCCTGGGTTCGCCTCCACGAGCAGGTAACGGGAACGCGGCGCACCTGGCGAGGCAGAAAATAATAAAACATTTTAAAAATGACCAAAAATTCCCAAAATACAAACTTTCCTGCCTGAATTTGCCTCAGAAGTTCCCAGGATGTTTTCCCGACCTGAAGCTGCTCTCGCTTCCTGTTTCCCTCCCTTGTTTCTCAGGGAGGCGAAGTACGTCCCCCTCCCTCAGAGGGCTCGAGAGACTGGCCCGTCTGCCAGCAGCATCAGACCCGGGGCCTCCGGCCGAGCAGCACCGCCTCCCTCCAGACACCTCCCGCCCAGCTGCTCCTCCCCCAAACCATCCTCTGATAGGAGCAGCCCTATGTCTGTCAGGACCGCCTGCTCTCCCAGCCAATCACGGAGCAGCCCACCTGCCGCCAGCAGCCCGCCCCACACCAACCACGTTCTTCCACACTCGCGCTCGCACCCGCAGGCGCTAACCGACACCACGCGCTCGTCCGTAAACGGTGGTACGAAGCTTCTGTGTGTGTCGAGCAGCTCCCTCTTGTGGTCACATCATGCACTAACGTCTATGTTTGATCGTCTCCTTCAGTTTCATCCAGAATGTCTCCGAAATCCCTTCAGAGACTCCAGAGCAACAGAACGCTGCGGAGCCCGAACTCCCAGTCCACGCCTGCAGGTACCGCACGCACGCACGCACACGTACACACACACGCACGCACACAGGCACGCACACATGTACACACGCACGCACGCACAAAAGCTGAGCAGAGCTTCCTTCCTCCTGGACGCTCACCTGTTCCTCCTCTTCCTCATCTCCGTCTGTCCTTCAGCATCTCGTGCTATGAAACCAGACGCCCCTCCCCAGGATCCTCCGTCTGTCGACCCCGGTTCCTCCTCCCTTTCCACTGTCACCATGACGACCACCACCAAACCCACTGGCCCCACCCCCCTCTTCCCCGTGGACGGTGAGCTGATGTTTGATTTATTTGTCGCGTGCGCAGCGCCGCGTGCATGTTGCTCACAGACCGCTGTGTGAAACCTGTGCTAACGTGTTCCTCTGCAGTGAGTGAAGTCCTGGGCAACGCCGCCAAAGAGCCGCCTGAAGGTCCGCCCGCTCCACAGGACGGCAAGAACAGCAAAGGTACAAAAACCTCCACCCGCCTGCCGCTGCCTTCGTCAGCCCTCCTCACTCCACCTCTCTTCCTGTTCGCAGCTCCGTCTGTGCAGCAGAGGTCTCAGCTGGAGGAGCTCCGCAAGTTTGGCAAAGAGTTCAGGGTAATCACGGTGGTCACATGATGTCACCTGCTGTGATGTCATTTTAAAAAATGAAAGAAATGGAGCCGTCTGCAGTCGCTGGTCTCACCGAGGTCTTCCTCTTTGTCACTCAGCTGCAGGCGAGCTCCTCCCCTTTGGCGAGCCCCGCCTCTGTAGACGCGCTTCAGGACAGCCCCACCCCCTCCACGGAGTGTTCCTCCTCCTCCTCCTTGTCGTCCCCCAGCCCACCGAGGCCTGTCGTGGCTACAGAGGTAGCTCCACCCATCTCAGCACCCGCTGCCCTGCTGCCTGCAGCTCCACCCGGCCCCCGCTCCTCAGGGACGGAGGGGCCGACTCCGACCCCGATCGAAGGGGAGCTGAGCAGCGAGCGAGCGGAGACGCCGACGGCAGCGTGAGTGAAGCGAGTAGCAAATGTAAAGACGCTGTGATGGCGCTGTAACACGTGTTCACGCGTCTCCGTGGTTCTGATGTTTTCAGGCAGGTGAAAAACTCGACGCTGAATCCAAACGCCAAGGAGTTTCTTCCCGTTAAAGGAAACGCGGTAAGTCCTCAGAGGTCGCGCCCAAATCGTGTGCTTCGTGCACACTTCTCAAACATGCTGCTCATTGTGACTTGCAGAAACCCGCCTCGAACCCCGTCCCGCCTCGGCCGACCCCGCCCAGCCCCGCGGTGGTCCTCCCAGGCCCGGGACAGCCAGGAGGAGGGGCCATCTACAGCAGCCCACCTGCACACTACCTGTCCTACATCTCCCCCATCCCCCTGCAGGGACACTCCATCCAGGTGTGTTTTTATTTAAATGTCCGTCTCTGGGGGCGGGGTTGGTGACGACACTGATGTGATGTAATGGCGTCCTCGTGTCCTCCTCAGGCTCCTCAGCTGTATCAGTACACCGTGTCGACCATCAGTCAGGGGAAATACCCCAGACCCAAAGGTACACGCCGCACTCACGCCTCCATATTTGGTGTCCCTGTGAGAAACGAGCGCTTTTCTTTTCCCGTGCCGCCGCCTCCAGTTCAGATCAGGACGCTGTGTGTCTGTTAGTCCTGCAGTTTGATCGTTGGACGTTCAAATGTCCAAATTTATTGAGCTGGTTGAGTTCAGTGATCCAGGTGTTCTTCTGCTCCAGGGTTGGTCGGGGGTCCGCGTCCGGAGCACCACGGCTCCCCGGCCTCCTCCATGATCTCGGCCTCGGCAGCAGGGCCCCAGCTGGTGGCTTCTCCTTACCCCCAGTCCTACCTGCAGTACAGTCAGGTGATCCAGGCCTTGCCCCCACACTTCCACGGACAGGTAAGTGCAGCGTGCTCTTCGCCTGTCGCTGAACCAGGTTTCTGTGAGACGTGTTATCGTGCAGTCGTCACAAAACACGCGACCTCAGTGACGGCCGCTCGCTTACTGTTGACGTCTCTGCGGCGGTTACGGAAACATTTACAGGAAGATGAGTTCACGTTTCATCTTTTGTGCTTTTTAAAACGTGGTGCTGACTTTGTCCTCTCTCTTTAACCATAGCCGATTTACTCGATGCTGCAGGGAGCGAGGATGCTGACCTCCGGGGCCGCTCAGCCGCTCGGGCCGCCGGGCCCCCAGTTCCCCGGGCAGGCCGAGGGCCCGCCGGGCCCCCAGCAGGCCATGTACGGTAAGAGAGGAGCTGCATGTTAAAATTTGAGCTTCAAACACAAATTTATCTCCTTTTGTTTCACATGCAGCTCAGAGTTGCTGCTTAATGACCCACACAAGTAAATATTTATTGTGAAGCAGGTTCAGCTTTCAGTCTGAACGCGTCTTCAGCTGAAACAGGACGTTTAGAGACGTCTTTACAGGAACATCAGACGATTCGACGTCTTCGTTGTTCAGACAGATTTGAGAGCTCTGACTGTTTGACCTGATGCGGCGTTCGACTCCTCTGTGATGAAGCTGACATCAGCACATCAGGAATAATATCAGACTAGAGATGAGCTCAAATACATGCAGAAGAGCGTAGGCAGGGTGGAGTGGGTGGGGACGAGTGTCGGGGTGACAGATGGTCTTGGTGGTGTCAAAGAGCAGGTTATTGTGAGAACCCCACCCAGTCAGGTGCTTCACCTCCTCCCTACAGTCTCTCACTGTGGTGCTGGTGGAGAGAGGGGGTTCAGGATGAGGGTGGAGGAGACCTGTTGGGGTTTGCTGGTCAGAAAGCTCAGGATCTGGGCGGACCTCGTCGGTTTTCACTGTCAGCAGAGCATCCAGGGGGCCAGACTGGACCCTCAGACAGGCCTCGTCTGGGCTCTGGGCCAGATGTTTCACACCCCTGGAGGAGTTTGGTGGTTGCATTGTGTCGTCTGCATAAAGACTAATAACATTTACAGGTCGTGCAAAAAAAGACGTTTAAACTGGAGCTGGGCATCGTCACTGATTTCTAGATTCGATTTGATTCCGATTCACAAGGTCCCGAATCGATTCAATTCGATTTGAATCTGGGAAATTTTGACAGTCAGAAATATTATAATTCAGATCAGCACATTTACATATTTTTCTATCTATAAAAAGGAAGCTGACACACGCCAGACTTGATCACAGGTGTGAGCGTCACAGCAGAGGCCTTTGTGTCAAAGCAGCTGAAGATAAAACAGAAAAACATGAAGCAGATTTTCCTCTTATGTTCTGATTTGTATAAAAAATATTCTGCCAGATCGATCAAACCAACGAAAGAAAACCCATTATCCAAGCCATGAATCCACACTCTAAGTTACAAGCTGTTTCATTACAGACACAACGTTTTGCCATTTCTAGCTCATTTAAAGAAAATCGTTTTAAAATTTGATTCAGATATTGAAGGCATGAAATTCAGGGCGTTTTTCTGTTTCGGAAGAGTAAGTGAAAGAAACAAACAGCGGTCCGACAGCTTGCAAAAGCAGACGTTGTGCGTAACAGCAATGCGAATAAATGAAGAAAAAGATTAGACAGAGATAGAAGAGAGAGAGAGAGAGACGAGAGAGAGAGAGAGAGAGGAGAGAAGAGAGAGAGAGAGAGAGAGAGAGAGAGAGGAGAGAGAGAGAGAGAGAGAGAGAGAGAGAGAGAGGGAGAGAGAGAGAGAGAGAGAGAGAGAGAGAGAGAGAGAGAGAGAGAGAGAGAGAGAGAGTGAATCAGAGAGGAGAGTAGAGGAACAGAAAAGAAGTCAGAGTGAATCCATGACGAGGATGGAAGCGAGTTTGGATCAATGTTGTTTGGAGAGAGATCAAACCTTCAGCTTCAGAATCAGCGCAAAAGAAGGCGTGAACACAAAGCTCGACCGCCGACACATCAGAGTCGGCGAGCTGTCGCTCTTAGCCCCGACCGTGTCCGTGCCGTCGGTGAGAAAGTCACAGCTCACTGATCCTGATGCGTCGGGGCGGTCGAGCCTTTGTTCACGTCCTGTGCAGAAGCCTGTTCCTGCTCTCATACTGTTTTAACCTTGGTGGTTGTTGAAGTTAGTAAAGTCAAGTCAACTTTATTTGTCAATTCTGCCACATGTACAGGACATACAGAGAATAGAAATTCGTTACTCTCAAACCCTAGATGAAATAGCAAATGAACATTTAAATATAAGAGAGTGATTAAAAAATGCAAATAAAATAATTAAAAAGTAAAAATTTAAATAAATACAATACAAATTAACAAGAAAGCTATGCAATATACAATATACAATATTCAGGTAAGGGTAAATGACATTGAGTGTAAACCAGGCAGAGTAGTGCAAATGGAGATTTAGTAATGTACGGTAAGAGATAGTATAACAACAAAGTCTTATGAGGTAATGGCAGTCCAATGCTCCACAAAGTGACTGGTAACTGGTGCAGGCCAGTGAGTGAGTCAGAGTGTGTGTGTGTGTGTGTGTGTGACAGAGTTCAGTGAGACCATGGAGGAGAGGGGAGAGGGGGCAGAATCGGGAGGGAGTTAAGCTTCCTGACAGCCTGATGGATGAAGCTGTCCTTCAGTCTGCTGGTCCTGGCCTGGAGACTCCGCAGTCTCCTCCCTGACGGCAGCAGCTTGAAGAAGCTTTGCATTGGGTGCGTGGGATCAGCCGCTATAACGAGGTTCTGGCGTTTCGGGCAAAATAAATTCATATTTAAAAATCGATTCAGGATTTGAATGAATCGATTTCACGTTATCCAAGCTTTAATCGATGATTAAAACCCGCCCCTAGTTTAAACCAGACTTTGACCACCAGGGGGCAGCGCTTTAGAGCGGATCATACATGCTCTTTGTTCGATCCCCGTTTCCTCGGGCTGCTGTTGTAAAGAAGATGCTTGTTATTTGTCTGCTTAAGTAAAGGTTAAAGGTCACTGCGCCACCTTGCGCTTCAAATTGTTTTTACACACCGTTCCAGCTCTGGTCTGTTCGGCTTCTCTTAGATGATAAAGTCATCGTGGACATTTCCTCTGTGAAAACTCTTTAATTTACAATAAAAAGCGTGAAGTCGTTGAAGGTGTGACTGGTTTAACCCACCTGTGTGAGGTGGGAATGCTGATTAGAGCTCATCCTTCCTCCTCTCTCAGCTCCTCAGTCCATCCATACTCACCACTCGGGCTCCCTCCATCCTCCTCAGCCCTCCAGCACACCCACTGGGAGTCACCCCCCACCCCAGCACACGGCCCCCAGCCCAGGACACGCTCAGGTGGGTGCATTCTGACGCCAACGATGACTAATCCATCGCATCTGAAGCTTTTGTTCAAAGTCAGGAGAAACTGATAACGCCGCCGTCAGGTTTGTTTTTCTAAATGTTTTAATGTATTTATTGGTTCACACTCCTCAGGTGAGTCAGGGCGCTTCTCAACCTCAGTCCTTGTTTCACTCCGGAGGTCTGTCGGCTCCCACGCCCCCTAACCTGCCGCCGGGCCACGGCTCGCCGCAGGCCGCCTACGCCATGCAGGGATACGGCCTGCCCACGCCCCAGCAGCTGACCCACGGCTTCCCGTCAATCAGCCAGCTCACACAGGTGAACAGGAAGAGCACCTGCCTGAGATAAACCGAACGTGAGGTGTTTCTGCCGCTTTAACCGTTCTCTAGATTCATGTGAGAACAAGTCGGGTTCAGGGACCTGCTGTTCTCACCGTGTGTTGTTTGCAGAGGTAAACGTGAAACCTGGAGTTCTGGATGTTTATCAGCCAAAATAAAAACATTTATATTATAATATTAATCAGCTGATTAATAACGTGAGGTTTCTTTGATCCTTTGAGCTCGGCGCCCCCTGCTGTCAGATTGAAACCTCTCCTGTTTGTCCTCTGCAGGCTCACATAACGGGCGGCATGTCGGGCCCGCACCACGCTGCCGGCCACGGCCCCCCGCCTGTCATGCTGCACTACGCCCCCCCTCAGCAGGGTGGCGGCTCCAACCCCCAGCACGGCCCGCCACCCCAGCAGGGGGCGCCGCAGCACTTCTACATCGGACCCGGTCAAGGTGAGGGGAACAAACCTCCCACAGACTTAAATCTCAGCTCCTGCTGCGACCGTCAAACACAGGCTCGCATGAAACTCGCAGCAGGAACAAAGTCGAAGGTCAGGTCGTCTGCAGGGAAACCTGAGGGTTATTGGCCACTGAATTATTAGTAAATGAATCAAATCAATGATAATTAGCCTAATCTAAGCTGTGGGAGTGCATCGGCGCCATCGAGCAGGAGACGGTTGGCTCCAGATGGCGCTCCGGGCTGTGAGGAGGATTTAATCCCGAGCTTTTGTGTTTCGTGTCTTCCAGCTGTCCAGGTCCAGGCTCACCCCGCCCAGCAGCTGTCCTTCCATCCGTCCGCCAACTGAAGCCGGCCGGATTCACGATAGCGGCGTCGCCTCCACCTCGTAACATTCCCCGCACGCCTGACACGAGTTGATGTTCTCACCTGGATGTTTTTTAAAAAGCAGATCAGACAGAAACGCCTCGCGTGAGGCGGAGCTTCTCGATTTTTAACATGTAGGCAGAGACCGTCTGTACACACGGACATGAAACTGGACTGAAGACGTTCAAACTGGTGGAAACTTTGTGTGCCCCATTCTTCCTCTGTCCTTTTTACAGACGAAACCAGTTCATTATTAATAAAAGCACTGAAACCGCTTTGGTTCTGTCTCCGTGAAGAGTTTGATTCACTGTAACCTCCAGCTGGGCGCAGATAGACTCAGATTCAGGTTTTCTTTAAAACATTTAATTTGTAGTTCTTTAAAAAACATTTGTTCTCACACTCAGGTTTTTACAGGCCCAGAGACGACGGCAAACAGCAACTGCACATAAATACATGAAAAACACTGGATGGATGAGAACGTTCTCAGGAGGTGTCATCAAAGTAAAGCTCAAACATGTCGCCCCTCATGACGCGAGGCGTGTGAAAGGAAGAGTTAACCAATGAAATAAAACCTAACGTATTTAAGTCAAATATTTAAAGAGAGAAACCTGTGAGTCAGAGTCACGGGAGAGAAACTGATCTGACGCCTCCTCGCACTGCTGGATTTGTCGCTGCTACAAAAGCGAATAACAGGATCCTAATTTAGTGTTCCCACCTTCGTGACTTATAAATACTCTATGGTGTCTCTATGGTGACGCTCGGGGAAACCTGCACAGCGACCAGCCGCCACTCAACCGAACACTGACTTCCTGTTCCGGTTCCAGCCTGTAGGGGGAGCAGGTTTGAAAATGGGACGGCAGTAAGGAGCTGCAATAAGGTGACGGCAGAGACCGGCTGGCGTGAGGCCGTCTGCGGTCGCTGTGACGGGCTGGCGCGATGATCGGGCTCGTCTGGACGCAGGGACGCTCGGCCGGTTGTATTCTGCTTTTATTGCCGAGTGTGTAATTTTGCAGTTTTTGTTTCAGAGCAGTGACGTTTGGGCCGGATACGCCACACAAACACAAATCCTCACCGTAAACAGATTACATGTCATTTCCGGTCGAGTCGCGCCGCTCCAGGTTCCCGAGTGTAACTGCAGCGTAAAGGTCCAAAAACACTCCAGCAGATATTTACACAAAACCAAAGAAGCGAAACTTGACTTCCTGTTTGGACCGAGGACGCCGTTGGAACAGGATGGATTCCTCCAGAGCACGGCTGGCATTTACCTGGTTTCCAGGTATCTGATGGCCAAAGTGGAAGTTTCAAATGTGCAGTTTTACGCCTCCGTCAGTCTGATCGCACTGACACTGCTGAGCCTGCAGGAAGTGGGGAGGAAGGTGTTTCAGGTCTTCATCTCAGTTTCTTTTCTCAGTCGTTCAGCTTAAAAAACAAAACAAAACAAAAAAAACTGGTCGGGCGTCGTTATGGAGGAAGGTGAACGCTCGATGTGGTCGTCAGTGGTTGACTAGTCCCATCTGAAAAGAAGAAGACAGCGACTGAGCCGACGTCTCCAACGAGAAGCTGAATGTTGGCGAGTGGCTTCGACTTACAGGTTGGTTGACGTAGTTGGACTCCTCGTACTCGTCTTCGCTGCTCTGAGCGGATGAACCTGGAGTGGACCCTGAACAAAAGACAAACATCCGACCTTTTATAACCACGTGTGCTTAAAACGCCAAAACATTCAGTGAGTTATTCTGTCACAGAGGAGGATTATCGAAGCTTATTTGCTGATGACATGTCAATCAAAAGAAGACAACTTTACTTTGATAAGTCGCACGACGGGGGAAGGTACCGGACAGTTGGAGCATAGCGTCGGGTGCGCAGTGCAGTATACCTTTTGGTGCCACGTTCTCATAGGGTTCGTCGTCGTCTTCTTCTTCTGAGCAGAGAACAGAGGAGGCGATGCGGCGTGATTAAAAATGAATTCTGACTTCTGTTTGAACAGCTGCTTGTTTTGGCGTTCAGACATTTTAAAACTTGTCATACTTTCCTGTTTTGTTTCCGTTTTAAATAAAAGGAAAAGAAACGTTTGAAACGCGTTGAAGCTGAGATTCAACGTGGAAAAAGAACAACTATGTTGCCTTACCATCGAGGTTCACGTAATTATGATCTGTGAAAGAGCACAAACAGCTGATGAGTCCACATTCTGTTGACTCCCCAACGTCCGTGTTTTACGATGAAAGATCCAAACTGCACCTGAACTGGGCGTCGAGGCTCGGCTCTCGATGTCCGCGGGGACTCCTTTGCTCTCCTCCGGATTGTCGGGTAACACCTCTCTGGGGAAACCACAGAAGAAGAGGAAGATCAGTTTAGAGCGTCATCACTGAGGTGCAAACACCAGCTGGAAGCTGCACGTGGAAACTTACATGTAATTATCATGATCGTCAACGTCCTTCTCAGGTTCTGTGGAAAAACAAAAGTCAGCTAAACATCACGTTCCTGCACACTGACATCACAGGGTCAAAGGTCAGAGTTTTCGTCCCGAGTTCATCCCCACAAGCCCAAGAGTTAAATCTAACAAATCCCAGATTCTAATCAGAGTCTGCAGCCCAATCCCGGTCCAGACCAGCTCTCCCAGTCCAAAGAGCTTAACCAGTCCACTACAACCATAACCAGGTTAAAGAGGACCAATATTGAATCCCAGGTCCAGTTTAACTAATCTCAAAGTTAAATAAATCCTAAAATCTCAGAGTTAAACCTATTAAATCCAGTCTAACAGTTTCCACAAGTCTCACTGATAAATCGCTTTTGGAGGCCGAGAAGCTTCAGGTCTTGGAAGTCAACGCCAACAAGACAAAGTGATGAAAGTCGGTCACTAGTTTTTGTTTTTCACACAGAAATGTCACAATATTGAGATTAAAAGTAGATCTTCATCTCCCAGCTGCTTCCTTTAGAGGTCACCGCAGCGGATCATCTACCTCCACCTCCTCCAACCAACTCTGCACCAACCAGTCTAAACTTATCAGATGTCAGTTCTGAACTGTGGCAGCCTGAGAGGTGAAACATCTTCACGAAGCTCCTCTGAGCTGCTCCTCTGAGCTGTTCCTCTGAACAGGCAACAAGCCGGTGTACTCCTGGCATAAAGTCTAATCGTGTGGCTCATCAAAAATGACTCTTTTTAATCCAAAACGGCTCAGATGGGTCTGATCCTCTGGACCACAGCTCTGTCTGTGCATCTGATGATCTGAGCTTCATCTGACTGATGCTGGGCTCACTGTGCAAATGCAAATGGGTCTGATTGCAAAAAGAGGAGGGTGTACCCGTACCTGGATTCTCATAACTCGGGTTGCTCTCTGTAGGACAGAATTGGAGCAACAGGTTTGGGTAAGAAGGTAAAACAGAAAAATACAACTTAAATAATGCGTTGTCCTTTCCAGGCTCACCAGTTTCTGTTGGGGTGTAAGGTCTGTGCTCAGGTTTGGTTGAACTGTGAAACACAAAAAAGAGATGTGTGCACATCACACAACGATTTCTAAAGCTCTGCACGCTCCCAGGAGAGCGTCTCCTGCTCGCCAACGTTCATCACCTGAACCAGGTGCGCTCATAACACAGAGGGACTTACAAAGGAAGCCGCAGGTGGGGGTCAGGTGGAGGGGTTGTAATGATGACGGGGTTCGGGGGTAGGGTCGGCTGGGCTGCAACACAGATCAGTGTTAGCTTCATCATCATCAGCATAGAGAGGTATAAAGCACTCGTATCCGTTTTTAAGAGCAGTCGTCCTCGGGGAGGGGACAACTTTACTTTCTCCTAAAAGCTCAAAGTTTCAGTTTTTATTATTTCGTTTACCTCCGTAAAACCAAACCAGCAGATTGCATCAGCTAGTTACACTTGTTTCCCATCCTCGCTGACCTGCATTGGCTTCCCATCAAATACCGCATTGATTTTAAAATACTATGGCTTACCTTTAAAATGATAACTTTGCTCCCAGATATCTTACTGAACCTCTCAGCTTGTACACTCCTAGCAGAGCACTGAGATCAACAATCGCTCTCAGTGCAGCCTGGGTCTCGGCTGAAGGCCAGAGGTGATCATGCTTTTGCCGTAGCTGCAGGCAAACTCTGGAATAATCGTCCTACTGCTGTTCACTGAATCAGTTCAATCTTTTAAATCGTGATTGAAACCCATTTATTCAATCTAGCCTTCCCTAGTTAGTGCCTGTATCCTGCAAATGTTCCCTTACGTAGTTTTAATCATTTTATTTTATTGCTGAATAATCTCTGTGTTTTGTATTTACACTGCGCTGAGGCTAATTCCTGCTCTCCACCTGTTGGTGTATTTAGACCCTGTTATTGTTCCTATCTCTAATTTATTGCATTGCTGTGAAGCACTTTGGTGTACCGCTGCTTTTTAAATGTGCTATACAAAGAAGGTTGTATTGTATTAGTTATTTCATTTGAAGCCAGCGTTGATGTTAAATGTGACCACAGTTTGAAGGTACGCACACAGAAAATCCGTGCACGTCGGACCAAAGCTCAGGCTGATTTCAAAGCTTACCAACGCTGATGCTGCCGCTCGCAAGGCTTCTGGAAGTCGGCATGGAGAGAGGAGCTTAAAGAGACGAGCAATAATGAGACCGATTATTGTGAAGTGTGAGTCACGCAAAGCTGCACAGAGTAAAAACACAGAGGTGGAAATGTGAAGGTGATGAGTGGCCGACATCGCAGAGCAGAATCAACCACGTGTTCATGGACCGTTGGTTTGAGCTGATGGTTGGACTGATGTTTCAGACTTACCTGCATGGATGACTCTGAATTCAGGTGATCTGAAAAAAAACAAACATCATCGTTTCTAAGCTTTGACTCATCGATGAAAAGTTCCTCTGTGCTGCAGACGGGAACACTTACGTGTACTCTTCTGAAGCTGTTTGTTGGATGGACCCTGATGGGCGAGAAAAGAAAGATTATAATGTGTCAGTAGCTCAAAGCAGAAATCTCAGAAGAAGCTGTGCTGGACACGATGGGTGTGAAAGATCTGGTCTGAGTCAGAGATAAAAGGCGTTTCTGAAAGCCACAGGGTGGTTTGTGCTCGAGTCAGGTCAGCCTGTGGTTAACAGCGGTTAGCCGCAGGTTGATACAGTGTCAACTGCAACTTTCACCCACGCAGTGGACCTTTGTTCCTGCAGTCCAAACAGATGACGGCCAGGAGGACGATGGAGACGAAGACGGCGGCCGACACGAGGAGAAGGAACCAGGAGAAGTCCATGGTTTATCTGAGAGGGAAGGGAGAAGATCACAGGTCAGGTCTTAACCTCCGTCACTGCAGATAAGGACGACTGAGGTCGAGTAACTTCAGTTATTTAAAGCAGACTTTGATCAAACCTGCAACAAACAATCCTGAACTTTATCAGATGTGTTTGAGCCTAAAGTGATGTTCAGATTCTGAAGTTTACTTTCACTTTGTTATCAGTCATCAATCTGCACAGCAGGAAACCAAACAGCTTACTGTTGAACTTCCTCTGAGGTCTTCCTCCTGCCTGCAGCTCCATCGTCATCATCCCCCCTCCCTCCTCTGCACATGCTCAGACTGTCTCAGCCTCTCTGACTCTGAGCCGTGCCCCTCACTCCCAGTGAACATCTGAACATCTGCTATCGATCTAATCAGTCAACAAATAAAAGGATGTCCTGTTCACAGAAGCATTCACATCATCTGCTGCGTTGAGCAGTCCAGGCCGTGCCAGACTGAGTTACTGAGACATAATTAGCAAAGGCTGGATCGGATGAAAGCAATCTGATTGGTCAAGGCTCGTGGTGACGACGATTGGCTGGGAATTGGTTTTTGCTTTAGTCATTAAAAACTTTAATCTTCATCATGATATATATAAATATATATAAATACACACACACAGTCATGAGCTGGTCATGAGCTATATAGCATGGCGGCGGCAGCGTCATGGCGTGGGGGCATTTGTTAGTGCAGTGGGAAAAATACAAATCCACTCTGAGTGAAAATCCTTTTCAGGTCATGTTTTCACTGCTGTTTGTTACTCAAAAGGCTACAAGCTGAATCTCCGGAAGCTGGGTGAAGACGAAGCAGCACGTTTTGATCCGGACTTTCTTTAAACCTGAAAGAAAGAAAATTCCCTCGAGTGGAGGATTCGCTGGCCGAGTGCTTTTGTTCTGTTTGGATTAAGAGTAACTCGTAAACCTGTGTCAGGTCAGTGCTGACCCACCTGGGGTTATGGTTAGGGTTTGGACTAATCCACTCATTTCAACAGATGAGTGGGTTTTTTTCTTCAGTTTTTACAGGAGGACAAAATATTGGAGACTTTGTTTTACAGGCAGCGTCTTCTAGTTTGAGCCTGTTTATCTGAAGCGGGCGTCCGGTGGCCTGCAGAGCGCGTGAGCTCTTGTTCTCTGTCGATGATTGTGTTTCACCATTTAATGCCAAAAAAGGAAGCAGGAAGTGTCCCACAAACGTGCACACACACATTCTGGTTAGAATAAGAAACAGAGTCTCAGCCGTGAAAAACCTGCTCCTCACAACAACAAGTCTTTAAACGTGAGCATGGAGGATTGTTACCGCGAGCCGTCTCTTCTCTGGAAGTTTGGTGTTTTTCATTCTGTGGTTTTTCTCGGCTTTTGAACACAACAACTGGAAACTTCCACCAATGAAGCTGCACAAACAAGTCAAATTTCCACTGGCTTCAAACACAAAACAAAAGCTTCAGTTTAATTCAGATTTTGAAGCTAAATGTTCAGAAGTCGTGCGATCAAAGCCGTCCTCCTCGGGTTCATAACGCCGACCCGAACTGCGCTGGATGAGACATAAAAACCAGAAACCTTTGTGGTCTGGCTGACAAACGGTTTCATGCTACATTTCTACATCACTGGAGGAAAAGTGCATGTGTGCAGAGCTGAGGGCTGCTGCACCCGCTCAACTCTGACTGTTACCTGCAGTAAGGTCAGAAAAAAGAAAGCAAAACCTGCAGAAGACATGAATCTGAAAAGTGATACCGATGCTTATGATGGGCCATATACATGTTACATCACATCACAAACACCAAATTCCTGCTGGAGCAACACCCTGGACCCAAACATCCACCCACAGACGTGAAGAAGCATCTTCATCCAGCAGACGGTGCGTCGGTGAGCCGGGACTCTGCGGGATCAGACGACCAAACTAAAGTCACATTTTGACATACTCGGGTCTCTACGTGTTCTTCATGTAAATGATGTACCGTCATCATTTACATGAAGTACAGACGGCCACAGGAACCTGGATAACATTAGCTAACATTAGCTAACATTAGCGGGCGGCCTCTGTCGCTCCACAACAAGTCACTGAAACTGAGCAGAGAGCAGTTTACGTTCCTGAAGTTTGGTAGGGTTTGATTTTCTGAGGTGTCTGCAGGTCATTGACAGCAGGTCTCTTTTGCACCAGCACATCATACAAAATACAGATTTTCACAAACTTGTCAGGAACGACCAGGAAAGCTCATCTCACATTATAATCGGACTCATTTTGCCACAACAAGTAAGTTTGAGTTTGACAAACGCTCGTGTGCTCGTCTTCATCACACGAGGCCGTGAACACGAGGAAGCTGTTCAAATGAAACCGGCTGTCCTATTTTCTTAAATAACTGGTGGTTTTTACCTTCCTGAGTTATCACAAAGAACAGTGTGATGCTAATCTGCTCTCAGGGGTGCGTCACACAGGAAGGAAAACCATCCACCACGTGGTGCGACTGACTGGTACTGCTCGCTTTCTTTCCCCTGCAAACCCAAAAGTCTCCAGTAAACAAGGCCAGCCGGCTCCGAACGCTGGAAACACACTTCAGAGGAAACACGATGATGGAAACCCAACTCAGACGAACATCTTCGGCCTCGGCTTCGCAGCTTTTACTGCATCTCACAAACATCAATTCCACACTGCAGCGAGGAAGGCCGCCATCTTGCAAATGTAGAGCCCGCCACAAAACCCCCCGAAAGGTTTTATTAAACTCTGTCAGCAAACAGAAGCTCGTCTAATAAGGTCACAGCTGTGCAAAGGAAACGAACTGACTGATAATGATCGGTTTTATCTGAGCTGCACATGTTTCTGAGCTAAAAATCAAATATCAGCAGTGAAAATCATGCACCACACCTCAAAGCTCAACATCAAACTCAGCTCATGAACGATTACATCCTTTCATATTATTACATCATCTTCTTAACGATGCTTTAAATCAGTTTCTTCAACTGCCATGAAATCCATGAAATTAATCAAATATGTTTTGAAATCTTCAAAAGCAGGTTAGAAATCCGTCCAAAGGTGGATCTAAACCTAATCCCTGAAACCGCATCAGATCAAACCAAAGATAAAATTAGGTAATTGAATTAGGCTGAAACCAGTCTAAAACCAAGCCCAAAGCCACATCTGAAAGTCTAAAGTCACACAGACAGACAAAAGAGACCTCCCGAATTCACAAAAGCTCTGCCGCGTCTTTCAAGATTCTGCCAAAACAAATTTGTTTGAAATTTATTTTTCTTCTAGTCCAAAATAACTTCAGTCAGAAACCAGTCAGTGTAAAGACCAGTCTGAAACTGGGTCTCAAACCACCTTTAATACAGAGTCTAAACCCAGTAGACACTGAGATGGTCCGAAGACACGAAACTAGGTCAGCTCAAAATCAGTCAAAAAACCCCCACGTCCAAGACCCAGTCCGAGCCCACGTTTGGAAATCAAACAAAAAAATGGCTGAAAACCAGTCCTCAACCAGTCTATAACCAGTTATAACCCATTATAACTAGTCTATAATGGTTATAACCATTCTATAACCCATTATGACAGTTTTAACTATCTATAACCAGTCCTTAACCGTCTATAACCAGTTATTCAATTCAGTTCAGTTTTATTCATATAGCGCCAAATCACAACAAGAGTCACCTCAAGGCGCTTTATACTGTAAGGTATATAATATTATAATAATATATATAATATATATATAATTATAATATATATAATATAATAATATACAATAATATATATCATCTATAACCTGTTCTAATCCATCTATAACCCATTTTAACCAGTGTATAATGATTATAAGTATCTGTAACGGTTTATAACCAGGCTAAGTCTTTAGCACTAACTCATGAATCCTAATGATTCTTGAGTTTCTGAGATCTTTACGTGATCAGCGGGATTTCTTAACCCTAACATCCTCACATGTTTCTGTTTGTTCACGATTATCAAACTGTGAGCAATAAAATACACAAAAATGTCGAGTGCAGCAAAAATGAAAATGAGAATTAGCACTCATATTTTCACAGTGATATAGATATTTTTAATTTGTTAGAAAGTCCAAAAGCTCCAGACTGAAGCCAGACCAGGCCCGAGTCCAGACCACAGCTCTGATGTGTGGAGTTGGACCTGACTGAGTCAGGGGGATCCTGCGTTTCTCAACAGAAAGTAGAAACACTAAAGTCAAGTAGAAACACTGTGCTGCAGGTTTTCTGGCATCATCAGGGTGAACTTCAGGAAGTCACATGTTCCAGTCTTCAGATAAAGTCCTGATAATCAGCTCCGTCAAACTGTCAGCGCGCTTCGATGTGCAGCTCAGACAGGATGCAAACAGGCTTTGAGCTGCAGCTGGAGGCTTACACACCAGCCTGCTGCTCATTTTAACTCCATCACTCCAACGTGTTGCTTATTCTACTCTCGTTCACAGCGCTCCAGCAACGCGTCACGAAGGCGCATCATAAATAAGCGTTGCTCACTCACAACTCAAACAGCTACAGTTCTAAAAATATGAGGTTAAAACATGAGATTTTTTTTATGTAATCACTCTTGTGTGTTTGTTTTTATTGTTTGCTGTGAGTGAAGACAGCCATAAACACAAAGGTGTAAGAAAACCTGCCCTCCATGCGCACAACCACAGGGGAACTATTTTTTTGCTGTGCTCTACATTATGTGACAACTGAAAATAAGGCAGGAGGCGTTTTGGGGTTTCGCCACGTAAAGAAAGCTGTTTCTCTGAAGTGAAGCTGCAGATCTGCTCATGTATGAAGAACCTACCGGCACCAGCGGCCTGTTCGGCCTGAACTCACAGCAAACCAGGTCACCTGACATCTGGCCCTGCAATGAGACGCCAAACACAGCCGAGCGGGGCTGTAAATGTGGCCCCGAGAAGACTCCTCGACCGCGATGCACAAAAACCTGAAAATTCAGCTTTTTCTTCTATTGTTTCACATTTCAGTGATCCTGGAGCCGCTGATACGCACAGCGCTCTGTTTCCTGTGCAGGTAGCGGGTTATTTTAACCAGTTAGGCTCACCTGAGCCCACGCCGCCCATCAGCTAACCTGACTGGACCTCAGGCTAGCTTATATATGGACCCTTCTTATTCTCATCTTTGTTTTTTAATTCTCAGATAAATATCAGAGAATTTCATGTAAAAGAGAACGAGTGAACTTCACCGCTGGTAACCAAGCAAAAGGTCAAAGGTCCTGATGATGGAGGAACTTTTGTGATTTCTCTTCTTTGAGCTGCATGAAATCCTGCTTTTCTAACAGCAGAGCTCTGATTGGGTCTCACACACACATGTTGGAAATGACCTTTTGCTTCTCTGGGCTGTAAAACCTTCACCTTCAGCACGGGCGAACCATATACGGCCAACACGAGCCCGCCGCTGAGTCGGCCTCAGTGTTCAGATCAGCAGACCGCACTCTGAAATCATCATCAGACGTCGTTAGCAGCATTTCTTTGTAACGACGCACCTTTTGGTGAAATTTCAAAAGTTTAGATTGTCGCTGTTTTAAAACCAGCCTGTTAATGAAATGTGCGAGCCTTTTATTCAGATGTGTGGCGTACAGCAGGATCCCGCCCGATACAACCTGAAACTCTGTAAAAGAAAAGGAAGAATCTGAAGCGTCAGGTCACCGGTGTTCGTTCGGCATCCAAACGCTTCTTATCGAATTCTTGTCTGTTTGGAACGCCGACAGAAACAACCCGAAATGTTAAAACGTGTAAAGGCTCATTAAAATGTTTCTGAAAGTTTCGCTTTTCTGTGGCGAACAAAGACCGACCTCTCACAGCGGAGCTGGACTTGGGTTGAACAGGTACCATCTAACTGATGGATGGTACTATCCAACCAAAAGGCAGAATCCAGGCGGGGGAGGAACTTCAGGAGTGATTCCTGAGATCGAGTGCAATGAAACAAGCACGTCTATGAGAGCGCAGGCCTGTCTCCTGCCTCGCTGACTAACAAAGACAGTTAATGGAGCCACAAAGTGATGGGAAACTCACCTACACCCGAGAACACGCGGCGGCGGCAGAGGGAGCGGCGGTGGAATGCTGGGCAGAGGATCGGAGACGTTTTGGGGCCTGCAGCTGCTCTCTGCTCCTCATGAGGCGACTACTGTAAGCAAACATCCGTCATGTCTGAGGACTTTTCTCCGTCTCTTTCACGCCCGTCTC